GGTAAGGGCCATAAATACCCACTCAGTATAGCCGACAGGCCTGCACCTAGGCCAGAACAAGATGCAATTGCCTCAGCAGGGAGTCAGCTGAAGCAAAACCATACTGTCTTTTAGAGTGGTCTGACATGCAGTTTTGTCTTCCCTGAAAGTATGGCATTAAAACCAAACTGTGATAAAGACCAGCAATAATTTGATTGCTCTTCCCTGTTCCTCTTTTTTTTTTTTTGATTTGCATTTAATTGAAAGGAAAGGTTGACCAATTAGTGGCAGCAGCAAATCTGCAGAAAATCCTTCCTTTTTGATCAAAGGTTAGATGAACCACTGTAAGAAGGTTCCCACATGATCAAATCTCCCTAGTCTAGCAAACTGTAGGTCTCAGTTGGTGTTATACTCTAATAGTTTTCTTTAGGTTTTTCTTTAGTTTTTCTTTAGGTACCCTTCCTTAAGGGAGATACTGGTAAGCACAATAAGATTTTATATAAATATATATATGTGTGTGTGTGTGTGTATATATATATGTATTCCTCTGATGCCAGTTCCTTAGCTTTCTTAAGGTTGGAAGATGCAGATATAGTGCGCAGGTTCATACACATTGCTAGGCTTTAACAGAGGGTCATTTGTAAGTTTTACAAAAAAGCCTTTCATTAATAAAAAAAACAAAACAAAACAAAACCACACTCAAATCTGTGAATGTTAAAGTAAACATGTACTCTTGGAGGCATTTATGGTATCTAAAGAGAAAGCTAGAAATTAGCATTCACTTGTTCATGAAACATGAGAAAAGTTATTTTTAAATGCATTTTTCTCTAACTTTTATTTTGAACTCCCAAGAAGTCTAGTGATAAAAAGGGAAATTGAAACAAAATGGTTCAGTTTTGAAAGGATAATTGAGGGAGGGATTGGGAAATAACTGCTAATAGCAGGCCATCAGAAGGTCAGTGAGGTTGATGAATTGAATACTTCTGTATTGGAACAAACAACAGAACTTGTATGTAACCTGGTGGGAGCCTTCCTCCATTTGTCCTTGTAAATGTGAGCTGTGTCTTTGGAGTCATGCCAGAGGGGAACTGCTCATTCGTTATTACCACCTAAAGCAAATGATCATAGCCCTATAGCCCTATGGCACATAAAATAGTGAGTGTAGCTTCCATTTCAAAGATACAAGGCGTATATTATGTTTCACATATGGTCAAATGTGTTCTGGCTTTTGGAAAAGGTACAAAAATTACTACAAAGAGTAAAGCTTATAAGGAAACAATTCAGTGACTAGGAAATTTTGTAATTGGAACCATAATTAGAGACTAATGCAGAGCAATACGTATGCTTAATGAAATAGGATTAAAATGCAAACCCAAATGCATTCAGAACCTAGCATACATACATGAATAATTTTAGATGTATTCCTAATCCTATTAGTTTCATATTTTCACACCACTGAAAACTAAGTGTTTAAATAGCATCTTTCATTTGAATTAAAGCAGACTTCCCTAACTAGCAAGGACTCCACTTCATGCTATTCTTAAATATACATTAGGAAAGTGTTCTGCACTGGCAGACAGGGGAGGAAGTAATGGAGATGGTGCAAGGTTCTTTCTGTATCTCAGTAAGTCCTGGCAACAAATGGCATAATAAACTAGCTGTTTTAATAAGGTGGAATAAAAAGAGGAGTACAGAAAGCAAGTAAGTCTGTGCCATTTCAGTTGCTGGGAACCCTGTTGTACACACAGGACTGGATGGATCCAACATGGATGTTCCCATGGTGTTCTGCACAGATCCTGTCCATGGGGAGGTGCCTCTGCCCTCCTGTACTGTGGTGCCTTTTACCCTGTGTAAAAACAAACCCATGTATCTCCTCCTGGCAAACTGGAAGGTTCTCTTTGATAGCACCCACCAATTCACAGCACAGGGCCTTCAAGCACCTTCCCTTCCAGCAGCTCCCCATGCTCACAGATGGGCTTCTTGAACCTGGCAAACAAGGACCAGTAGATCAGACATTCCTTGTCCAAGATCACTAAATCCTTGCCTGCAGTGTCTTCCATGAGGCTCCCAATACAAAAAGTATCTTATATATGATAATGTATCAGAATACTTTGCTGGTGTTGAGTGGGTTTTTTATTATGCATATTTCATCATTTCAACATGCATTATGCTGAAACAACTGAAATGGCTGGCTGCAAAATTGCATTGCCATTTTCTCTTCAAGAGTCTTGAAGGTCACTTCTATAATTGTCAGGGAATTAGTAATTATTTTGATTTGAATGAATACTTATGAACACTTATATATTGCAAAATATTTAATACCTGGTCATTTTTATATTAACCATCCTTTGGTGTGTTCTTTTAAGTAGAGAAATCTGTAATTGTATTCGATGGATTTTATAGATATTTTTATTTTATGTATTCACATGGTTTTTTCTTTAATATAAATATAAATGTAAATACCAGAAAGGTATGTGTGATGCTGGAAATCCCAGGGTTCTGGTAACTATTGATGCACAGGAGATGGTTTTTCTGATTATAAGAGTAGCAGAATGGGGAAGGGAAGCTGCATGGAAACATCTTTCTTTTTTCATAAAGACTTTAAAAATTTAAGAAAGAAAAAAGTTGCCCTGTTTTGTGTCAGGAGCAAACTGAGCTGCTTTTAGACCCTGGGTCAGATCACCACAGGTGAGTGCTGTGGCCAGTAAGAATTCACAGTGGTGTTTGTTTAGTCTCCCCTGATGGAAAGATGTGCAGCACACTGTTACTGGTGATCAGACGTTGCTTCTCCATGTTGCACCTAAATCAGTGCTGTTGTCAGTGAGCAGCAGGGAAAGTTTCTTGCCTTCTGAGAAAGTTTTTTGTCTTGTCTTAGAGAAGAGACTGGATAGACATTTATATAAAATACATCTTTGTGTTCAGGTATAAAACCCCAGCATATTCTGAATGCTGCCTGTATTTAATGTTCTACTTTTCCTTTGAAGCAATTCAGAAGAAAAAGAAAATTATCTTAGAAAAATCTCTATCATGTTGCATGTTATACTGCCTTGTTTATGTGACAATCTTACATACAAGAAAAGGAAATTCTTTTAAACTCTTCTTTCACAAATGATCCTTTTCCCTAGCTTTCTCTTTCAAAATTGCCAACCCAAAGATACTTTCAGACTATCTCTTTTTACAAGCCAAATCTGTTTAAGTGGTGAGCTGTTCTTTGAAGAATTTAGTTACTGTTTTGTCATGTTTAGAAAAACGCATGTTTGACAGGCCGATGCTATTGCTTGAGATTATTTTCTCCTTTCCTTTATAAGTAAGTGCATGCAAGAGAGATACTTCAGGATCAATCTCTCTTCTAAATTCTGTTGACAGGACCATAGGACTAGAGTGTCTGTGGACAAGACCACAAATTGTCTTATGGCAGATTTCAGAACATCTTTTTTTTTATTTTCCATTTTAGTGCTACTGTTGATTATTTTCTTTATATTGTAACAAAGGGTCAAGGAGATTCTTTGCCTACTTTTTAATAAAAATGAACATGTTAAGTAAGAATCACTCGTTGGAAACTACTGAAGAGACCAACAGAAATACAAATATTATTCTGCAGTGTGCAACTTGTTATGACATCCAAAATATCTTGCAATTTAAATGTCTTACAAAAAAAGTAGTGAAAAGGTAGTCCAAACTATTAAATGATCTGAATTTCCTCTAGGAAAATATTGATAGAATTTAATAGGCAGTAATAAGCTTTCTCTTTGTTTTATGAATCATTCTGTGTATTTAATAGAAAATTATAATCTTGCTGGAGACTTCTGTGGAATAGCCAAGAAAACCAAAAGCAGGATAATAATTTTCTCTTAAGGTACTTGGCATATTTAGAGTAATTTTATATAAATCAACTTTATCACTGTGAAATACTGTAGGATATTTCATGTTTCTGAAAATAACTCTGTATCTTATCAATAAGAAAGCTATTTCTCCAGCTTTTCTCATGTACATATCTTGTAAGCAGCACTGGTACATTGTATTCAGTCTAAATTGCACCCAGTGCCCTAGGTGGTCAAAAGAAGCAATTGCTTCTCCAGCTCAGAGAAGCTAAGTAGCAGAGACACTTCTGTGCTTATAGTGCTACATATATGGCTACAATTTCTGACCCCAGAGCCAGTTACCATGCTCTAGTTGCAGTAACACAGCTCAGGACTCACCTCTGTAGCAGGCAGCATAGCTTTTGTTCACCTCCAGCTCCTCTGTAGTGCTGTGAAAACGTAATCACTATTTTATGCTTAGGGGTATTTTTGAGTTTGGGATTTTTTTTTTTTTTTTTTTGTGTGTGTGGCTTTTTTTTTTGTTAGTTTTTTTTTTTTTCCCCCCATTTAAAGAGTTTGAACTAATATGAAGGATACATTGCAGCCCATCAGGGCAGTATTTGTGTAGTTGGAGAATGTATCTTCCATCCCTAAAGGGGTGACATGAAGAGGTGTGGAAGGTGTCTGAGTGTGCAGAGCCTGGCCTGATAATATTTCAGAACTGTGTATGTTAGAGGAAGACACATCTAGGAAAGTTTTCTGCAGTGAATGATCTTGATCAATGTTCAGTTGTTCTCTTGAAGAGGACCAGTGGGGAGATCTAAACCAGCCCAGGGAGTAAGCTCTCACTGAAGCAGCATGGATAATTAGAGATCCAGTGCTCGGACCCCTGCCTGGCTCTCTTTTGTTCCTCGGGGCAGATGTACCACCTGTGGTTAGTCCTACAGTAGGCACCAACTTTAAGAACATGCCTGAAGTGCCTTACTCAAGAGCCCAGTCACTCTGGCTTTCTTTTAGAAGAAGAAGGGAGAGACAGATACCTCTGGAAAGTAGCACACCCTAATTAAAAACTATATAAAATATGTTTATATTTTCACATATTTCTGCCACTAGTAGTGAAACTCGTGCTGTTTGGAATAAAGATTCTAGCTGCGTTTTTATTAAACTATGCTGTGTTTAATGGGAATGTTTGGTTTTTGTCTTTTCTTTTCCCCTCTGCAGCTGTGACTCTGAAAATAGGTATCTTGGAAATCCGCTTAGGGGAACATGTTACTGTGAGTACTTATATTTTTAATGTTCAGTACTTAAATGCTGTTTACATATTATGTGTTAATTTAATTTCCTTGGAAAAATGAAGTATTTTTCTTACATTTTTCTGAAGTTGGGTTACGTTGATATTTTGGTTGAAAAATAAAATGCCCCACTGGGATTCTCTGTTTGTTAATTTGTCCAGGAAAATGGAAATTAGCCTACTAAAAGTTGATTCTTTACACCTGAGGTAGAGGGAATGACCAAATCCTTGGGTTATTCTCTGTATTTCAACATACGTGAATGAAAGGAATAATCATGTCATTCCTTAAAAGACAAAATTTGTGGTGTGGAAATGCAAATAGTCTGGGGACATTCTGAATGGTTTAGCCAGTTGGTCTCCCAGGGACCTGATACACAGCTGCTCTCTAGAGTATCATAAAATGGTACTGTGTGTTGTCTTCATGTTCTCATTGTTGTATAAAGGGTGCCTCTGGCAAATTTGCTTTAAAGCATCACAGTTTTGATAGTTATAGTGAAAGACCTGGAGGGTTGAGCATGTGTATTACCCATGTGCAGAAATCCCTTAGTGAGCTGGGCCAATATCAAGTAGTAATTTTAATCCTCATAGAAACTTATTAGATGTTGGCAAATACTGTTTTACCTTTTGTGCCTTTTGCACACACCTGCTCCATGTCAGACAACTGGAGCCATTTGTCTATTGTTTCCTAACATCATCCCTACCTCATACTTAAATTTGCATAAAGACATATCTCTGAATGTTTTTATAGCATCCATTCTGATCTTTGGCCTTGTTTTTTAGGATTTCATTTTAGAATGTACACAAAAGCTTTGTTTTCAAATCTCTTTAAGGCATCATTTACCTATTAAACGAATGTTTCATTTCTTTACTGATGTTTCTTTTCTACTGTAAATGGTTTCCTTCAGCAAGCTATGTTTTAGAGGACAAAATAGATACATACTATATTAGACATGCTGACATGTCCCTAAGCAGAAAACTTTCATTCCTCTTGCCAGGTATTAAAGAAATTGGTGGTGTTGGTTGTTATTTATTGTTTTGTTTTCTTTTTCACAGACAAGTTAAGCTCAAATGTAACGCTTCGAACTAGAAGATAATTTTAAAGTATTGTATTTTGAAGATACTTTGACATTGACAGCTTACATAAAGCAGAGCAAGTTGAAAATGATCTTTAAAACCATTTTCCAAAGTTATTGTTTATCAAAAAATCAGTTGCGTTTGTTGCATTAAAAAAATTTTGAAACACAAATTTCAGTATTTAGATGAATTAATTTAAAAATCTTTTTCATAAATATTTTGCAAATTATTGCTACATGCAGATTAAGGCTTGATAATGTGTACATGAGAAGTTTATACTATGAAGAGAAAGCTATATAGTCTATTTTAGATGTGTGTATCAGCATTTGGTTTATCTTTTAAAAGTAAACGTTATTAAATTTAAGAGATGGAGAAGAAATGACAGTAATGAGATCTGTAGACCTCAGGCACCTCCACAAAAAACCTTATTTCTTTGCTATCATGTTGCAGGTTGGGTCTATAAATCATGTTGGAGACAAAATGTGTAATAAACAAGATACCCTTTTGACCTTTAACTCACTACTATTCTTTGTCTTCTGTTAGATCTCAAAATATTTTAAAGATCTTCTTGTTCTGGAATGATAAATCTTCTTTTGATACTTTCAGTCATTTAAAATGCTATAAATGATTTTCAAAGTTATTTTATCTGGAGTTAACAAGGAGCTTGTGCTGATTTAAATTAGTAGAGTTCTGTATTCCTTATATATAGTGACTGATGCATCATAATGGGAAATAATTTGTTAATTTGTGGATAACTGACTGACTTAAGATTTCAATAACTACGTATCAGCACTGTCCATTGCCTACTAAATCATCCATTAAAATAAATATATATCACAACGAGATGCTCCAGTTTCTTATCAATAAAGTATTTTAAAATATGGCCTTACCATGAAGAATAATTTGTATAAGGATATGTTTCACTTCTGTACGAGGCAGATGTTTTTCTGTGCTTATTTCACTACTCTGTAAGAAATTTTCTCTTTAGACACTTATATTGCTGCTTCTTGAAGTGAAGAATATTCTTATTTTTTACAGCACAGGAATAGTTATTGCTCAGGAGGGAGGAAAACCAAATTGTATATATTTACAAGGAACGTAAGTTTATGAGAAGTGAAAATTCTATGCACGTTTGTTTCTGACACTTAGATTCAAAATCAGTGAATGGTACAAAAAAAGGAATACAAGTAGCACTGGTGTTAACAGCAACAGAATGTTTAAGGTAGTAAGTAAACTTTAAACTTTAAATAGAGTTGCCAGCTGGATACCACAGATTGTTTTAGTTTCTTCCTAATTTCTTTCCTTTAGTAGTGATGTAGGAAAATAACCAGAATATTAATGCTGTACATGGATCATGTTGTGATTGGAGATGTGATCTGAGCACAAAATAAAACAGGAAAATTACAGATAGGTCTAGCATGATTAAAAAGAATGATATTTATATAGGAAATAACATGCTGTAACATTGCAGGGACTTAATCTAAATACAGACACTATGCCAAAAAGATAAACACAGCAGCAAAGCATTCAAATCCTAGAGATAACAGGAGCCATTAGTTAAACACCAGATTTAATTCTATTATGATATTTCAAAACATGGCAGCACTGGACACAAATAGTTTTTCTACTTTAAATTATCAAAACATAATAAGTAGAGAAGGAAATCTATAATTGACAGGGCATGCAATTATCTATTATCTAGATTGTGTGAAAATTGTCATCCATTGCTTCTGTTAATTATTTTAATTTCATTCTTCATTTCAATCATGAATTAAAAAAGCACAACAGAGAGAACCAACTTCTCTGAGAGTGAGAGAATGAGAAAAAGTTTCACAGATACAGAAATTACAAAAATACTGAATGTATAAGAATGCCTGAGCAGATGCACGGTGGTCCACCTACTCCAGTACCTTGCTGTCAGCAGAGGTTGAACATGAATGCCAGGAGAGGAGTAGAGAAAATGGACAAACATAGAGTGATATTTCTGCCTTTACATCCAACAGTTTGCAGCTCGGGAACTTCATGAAAAGAAGGATTTCTTGAGCCAAAAGTGTTCAGTGTGTTTAGGAATATCAGAGGAAATCTTATCAAAAATTTCTTATGCATAATGAAAAGAAAACTATGAATACAAGAGAAGGCTTCATGAATTTCAAAGCCACAATTTTGTTTGTTCACGTAAATATTCTTGTAGGCTGAGTACGAGTCTGCCCGGATTGTCTCTGTTTCTGGTAGGGAGCCTCTATATCCCTGGGTCTTCCTGTTAGAAGCCAATCTTTCTGTGAATGATCAGAAGCTGATTCAATCCATGTGTTCTGAGTGGAGGCCAGAGGTGGTTGTGCAGCTGACTTATGTGTGTATACAAACCATAGATGTACCATTTTGTCATGACGCATTCCCATTGGTGGTTGTTATTGTTCTTTGGTTTCTCAGCCGGCGTGGTGTAGAACAGTGACACGTAGATAGCAAAGCATGTATCCAAACTGCTGGGCTAGTTCTCCTCATGTCAGAATCAGAAACACATTGCTGTCAGGATCAGTGCTCCTGTGTGCAAAGAAACATGCAGCAAACCCAGGTGGTTTTAGAGTGGTAGGGAGGAGTTGCAAATGGAGAGCTAGTCAAATCAGTGTTCTAGAGGAAAATGACAGATACAGTTACTATTCATTATATAGTATTATACAGAGGGTGAATTATAGGTTTGCTAACAATCCCTTGTTTTGGAATGATGTGATACATTCCTTCATAAAAGTCTTCTATTTATCCATATTCCTGAAGTCAAAAACTTTTCAGAATGTCTGGTTTATGCACCTTGAGTATTGCAGTTCCAATACTACATTTCAAAGAAGTGCAACTGATAGATTCTACTGCTACTACAAACAGAAGATTCTAATGCTACTACAAACAGAAGCATAAAAGCTTGCAACAAACCAGCACCATGAGTGTAAGTCATATTGTTTGCCGGCGTAGTTGTTAGGATTTCCAGATGAGTTGAGCACTCAAGAGTTCCCTATACCACCAAAAGAATTCTTAGCTAGTCTAGTAGCCAACCGAGAAAATGTAGTTGAAAAAATGCATGTGGATTTACACACCTTAGTTTCTTATTCCCTTTTACCCTTTAAAAGAATGCTTTGAAGCATCCTTTATTATTTCTTGCTACTGCTATCAACAATGAGAAGAGAACAAGTAGCTTCTCCCTTTCCTTCTGCAGAGCAGTTGCTCACTTTAGGGTATGAAACTTTCATAAATTTGAGACTATTTTCTCACCAGTGCACAGCAACAATGTAGTCACAATGCAATAAAATTGCAATAAATGAACAATTTTGATAAATTTGGTGGTTATGTTTGGACTGGACAGACATTTTCATGGGTCTGTGACTGTCTGGGAACTAAAAAAGAAGTAGAAGCTTGCCTTCTGCATTCAGAAGTGCTTCATGTGTCCAGGGTAACACTATAGTTTACTGTGCTGTGGAGCAAACCCAATTTTAAATTTTTTAGAGATTAGAGCATGACCTTTGAGCAGGATTAGAGGATCCAGAAGCGAACATAGGTCAGGAGGGGATGGGTCATTTGCAAAGAGAAATAAAGAGGGAGGGGTGGAATGTTTTGTAGCTTTTTGTGGAATTAAAGCCTATTTATTGTTAATTTATGCTACATCTTCACAAGAATATATGCCTCTGATAGAGATATATGTTGGATTTACAGCCTTTAAAAAAGAGGAAGCATGAATATCTTTACATAAAAGAGGCTGAAAGAATGTACAAATTTATTTTAACAGTTTTCCTAAATTCATTCTGTTTCCTTCCACAGTTCTCTCTAATCTTTCTCTCACCTCAATGTTTTATAAAATGTCATTTGGGCTTTACACAGTGATTCACCAGCCACTATTTCAAATGTACCTTTGTGAAGAAACAT